GCAGAAAATTTCTACAAAAGATCATAGAATGACTAACAATCAAATTGTAAGTTGATTTTGTTTATTTTTGAAAAAAAAAGTACAAACCCTAACTTTTTATTTGTCTTATTCTTCAATTACTTTCTCTAGATATATGAGTTCCAATATTAGTTTATGATTTCTTATAATATTTATCAGAAGAAGATTTCGAGACCCAAAGACGACTCAATGATTTCTTATAATTATACGGAGTAGTAGAATGATGTTTGGTATAATAATCTACTTTAAGTGAATTAATTTGTGGTGTATTATTAGCTTATAAATTTACTGGACAAAAAAAAAATTAAAAAAGAGTTTAATTGCCTTAATTTCTGGATTTGGTCCATTTCATATGATTATAAAAATATAAATTCAGCTCATAGATGAATGTTCATTTTCATTTTGATAAATGTTCATTCATATACTAGTATATGTTCATGTACATATTAATATACGGTCATTAGAATTATGATAAAAGTCATGATCTCCATTTTCTTCCTATATTTTCTATTGATCTAATAAGAAATATCAATCTATTGTAAATTTTCATTTTGGGTGGAACATTGATCATTTTAGATGGATTTCATGTTCATTTATTTTCCATTAAATTTGATACATGTTCATTCTCTTTACATTATATGTTCATTCTTATATTGAAAGATGTTTATTTGCAATCTAATTCAATATATATCAACATGTTATTTAGATTTATACTTATTCATTCATTCTAACATTAAAAGACATTTGTTTTAATTTTAATACATGTTTGTTATTATCATAACCGTATCCTTCTTGGAGGATCGGTAGGTCTCTTTGATGTTTCTCCTTGGAAAAACAGCATATGGATGCTAGATAACAAGGATGTACAAGAGTCATGGAAGGTGAACAACCTCTGGTCGATGGAACAATGTAGGCAAGGGAAGTTGGCGAAATGGATCCGTAACTTCGGGAAAAGGTGGACTGCCTCTGGTCGATGGAACAATCCAGAGGTAGGGTCCAGCGGCTAGAAGAGCACCACACGTTGCGTGGTGTCCGGTGCGCCCCCGGCGACCCTTGAAAATCCAGAGGACCGAGTGCCGACCACGCCTGGTCGTACTCATAACCGCATCAGGTCTCCAAGGTGAACAACCTCTGGTCGATGGAACAATGTAGGCGAAACATCAAAGAGACCTACCGATCCTCCTAGAAGGGAGATAAATCGTAGAGGCTTTTCCCTCACCCCTGTCCATCCTTTGGCAATTTAACAAAGGTAAATGCCTCAGTACCCAAGTCAAATGACGCGATATGGGTAGGTCTCCCACTACCGTTTCCACCCTTTTGTCGCGTGCTAGCCAATTCAAAGTCCCTTTGGAGAAAATTGGGTTCCCCTTGTAAGCAAGCCCTGAAATGGAAGGGAAAAGAAAGCGCCTACCATCCTCTGTGTTCGAGGCTACTGTCTTCAAATCTTCAATCTTCTTCCGCTCCTCCTGCTGAAGCTTTTCAAATTGGTCCTCCTTTACATTTCTCTCTCCAGCTCCACCTCCTCCTCCCAATTCCTCTTCTTCATCTCACTCTTCTTCCCACTGTGCAATAGCTCCAACATCTTCGGCGGGGCGAGGAGCATACTTGTTCATTAGCTCGGTTAAGGCAGCATCAAATTCCCTCTCGAGCTCCACCTCCTTCTCCCAATGCGGCAGTGCCTCTTCTTCATCTCACTCTTCTTCCCACTGTGAATTTGTTCCAGTTTCTCTCTGTCAGCCAAATGACGCGATATGGGCAGGTCTCCCACTACCGTTTCCACCCTTTTGTCGCGTGCTAGCCAATTCAAAGTCCCTTTGGAGAAAATTGGGTTCCCCTTTGTAAGCAAGCCCTAAAATGAAGGGAAAAGAAAGCGCCTACCATCCTCTGTGTTCGAGGCTACTGTCTTCAAATCTTCAATCTTCTTCCGCTCCTCCTGCTGAAGCTTTTTAAATTAGTCCTCCTTTACATTTCCCTCTCCAGCTCCACCTCCTCCTCCCAATGCCTCTTCTTCATCTTACTCTTCTTCCCACTGTGCAATAGCTCCAACATCTTCTACGGGGCGAGGAGCATACTTGTTCATTAGCTCGGCTAAGGCAGCATCAAATTCCCTCTCGAGCTCCACCTCCTTCTCCCAATGCGGCAATGCCTCTTCTTCATCTCACTCTTCTTCCCATTGTGAATCTGTTCCAGTTGCTCTCTCTCAGCCAAATACTTCTCAATTTCTTGGTTCTGCATCTCCTTAAACTTGGTCGCCTCCTCAACCCTGAAATGGAAGGGAAAAGAAAGGTGACAAGTGTATGCTACTACATATTAAACCAAGTGAGTTGTTGATTATCCTCACTCATCTTCTTCAAGGGAACAACTACCATCTCTTGGTATGACCTAATCTCATACTTTAGTCTTGTTTTTCCTAATTTCGAGGTAGGGTCTAGCGGCTGGAAGAGCACCACACGTATTTCAGGGCTGAGGAGGCGACCAAGTTTAAAGTAAAGAGGAATTCCAGAGCAAAAGCAGTTCAGAGTAAAGAGAGAAGAGCAAGGGAAGTAATGCAATAGAAGTATAACCTGTTTATGCTGGCTTGTAATACCTCTGGTCGATGGAACAATGTAGGCAAGGGAAGTTGGCGAAATGGATCCGTAACTTCGGGAAAAGGTGGACTGCCTCTGGTCGATGGAACAATCCGGAGGTAGGGTCCAGCGGCTAGAAGAGCACCACACGTTGCGTGGTGTCCGGTGCGCCCCCGACGACCCTTGAAAATCCAGAGGACCGAGTGCTTACCACGCTTGGTCGTACTCATAACCGCATCCTTCTTGGAGGATCGGTAGGTCTCTTTGATGTTTCTCCTTGGCAAAACAGCATATGGATGCTAGATAACAAGGATGTACAAGAGTCACGGAATGTGAAAGTATATAGTCTTATTAGATATACTCTTAAATGAACTACTTTTCTTGAATCTTAATAATGCAAAGCACATTTAGGACAGAAATGATTCCAGCATCTTTAGTTGCTTGACGCTGCAGATTATTGAAATAAGCCAGAACAGTGATAGGATGAGAATTAATAAACACCAGATGAATTAAAAAAAAAAAGCATCTGCTAAAACAACTAGTTTATAAGCAGTAGCAACGTGTGGTGCTTTTCCAGCTGCTGGACCTTACATCCGGATTGTTCCATCGACCAGAGGCGCCTACATTGTTCCATCGACCAGAGGCTGTTCACCTTGGAGACCTGATGCGGTTATGAGTACGACTAGGCGTGGTCGGCACTCGGTCCTCTGGATTTTCAAGGGTTGCCGGGGGCGCACCGGATACCACGCAACGTGTGGTGCTCTTCCAGCCGCTGGACCCTACCTCCGGATTGTTCCATCGACCAGAGGCAGTCCACCTTTTCCCGAAGTTACGAATCCATTTTGCCAAGGCGAAACATCAAAGAGACCTACCGATCCTCCGAGAAGGAAGATAAATCGTAGAGGCTTTTCCCTCTCCCCTGTTCCATCCTTTGGCAATTTAACAAAGGTAAATGCCTCAATACCCAAGTCAAATGAGGAAGATATGGGTAGGTCTCGCACTACCGTGTTCCACCCTTTTGTCGCGTGCTAGCCAATTCAAAGTCCCTTTCGAGAGAAGAACTTATACAGGCGAAGAATGCTATTGATAAGAGCATTGCAGCTCATTACATTGATGTAAATCCAATTATTATGACTGAAGTTATTGGTAATGATCTCGATGTTCCTCTAGGATTCCCACCCAAGTCTAATTCTTCCTCCAAAAAGGCATGTGTGCATCCTGGATTGAAATAGAATAGCAATGTTGGTCATTATGTCGATCTGCCCGGAGGACCGAGTGCCGACCACGCCCGGTCGTACTCATAACCGCATCAGGTCTCCAAGGTGAACAACCTCTGATCGATGGAACAATCCGGAGGTAGGGTCCAGCGTCTAGAAGAGCACCACACGTTGCGTGGTGTCTTATGCGCCCCCGGCGGCCCTTGAAAATCCAGAGGACCGAGTGCCGACCACGCCCGGTCGTACTCATAACCGCATTAGGTATCCAAGGTGAACATCATCTGGTCGATGGAACAATGTAAGCAAGCCCTGAAATGGAAGGGAAAAGAAAGCGCCTACCATCCTCTATGTTCCAGGCTACTGTCTTAAAATCTTCAATCTTCTTCCGCTCCTCCTGCTGAAGCTTTTCAAATTGGTCCTCCTTTACATTTCCCTCTCCAGCTCCACCTCCTCCTCCCAATGCCTCTTCTTCATCTCACTCTTCTTCCCACTGTGCAATAACTCCAACATCTTCGGCGGGGCGAGGAGCATACTTGTTCATTAGCTCGGTTTATTATTATTATTATTATTATTATTATTATTATTATTATTATTATTATTTGAAATGGAAGAAATACTTCTCAATTTCTTGGTTCTGCATCTCCTTAAACTTAGTCGCCTCCTGAGCCCTGAAATGGAAGAAATACTTCTCAATTTCTTGGTTCTGCATCTCCTTAAACTTGGTCGCCTCCTGAGCCCTGAAATGGAAGAAATACTTCTTAATTTCTTGGTTCTGCATCTCCTTAAACTTGTTCGCCTACTGAGCCCTGAAATGGAAGAAATACTTCTCAATTTCTTGGTTCTGCATCTCCTTAAACTTGTTTGCCTCCTGAGGGCTGAATAGGAAGAAATACTTCTTAATTTATTATTAGGTGATAGTAGGGGTTGATTTAGTAGGGGTTAAGGTGATAGTAGGGGTTGATTTAGTAGAGGTTAGGATAGTAGGGGTTGATTGGGGGTTAGGATGATAGTAGGGGTTAAGATAGTAGGGGTTTTGGTATAGTAGGGGATTACATAATAGTAGGGGTTGATTTAGTAGGGGTTAAGATGATAGTAGGGGTTGATTTAGTAGGGGTTAAGATGATAGTAGGGGTTGATTTAGAAAATCTCTTAACCCCGGGTACTTAAACGATTAACACAATCCCCATCAAAATCTGCAGCTAGAGGACCACACATAAGAGGGTTTATTTTGACCACGTTATCTTCATGAATGTACACACGCAATGCTTGAAAAGAATGCTTATGAGTAGTAGGAGGTCGATTAATGAAAACTATATCCCCATCCATAATCCTCCTATGAACAACTTAGCCAAGTCTTAGGAACGTATGCCCCTTATAACCCTCCCTCAACGAATATGTTGACAACCCATCCCTAAAGGTGAGACACAAGTTGATTTGATATTATTATTCATTTAGCATTATCATATTTACCAAAACATGATATTTGAGGATCCCCAAGCAGCTACTCACTGCTCTTGTTGAATTGTATTCGTGTGGTATCTGAAGGTATTTTTATGTATGTCAATCACGTGACGCTTAATTGATCCTTTATAAACATCATGCATCGAACAGCATACACTGAGTATCATAGACCAATTCATTCATAGACGACCTTAATTTTTGCTCTGTTTGTTTTGATTTCAGCTGGATTATGCGTTTTATGCTGGTTTAGTCAACTAGAAATGATATATATGATTTACAATATAATTTTAATATTTGGTTTAGTCCGTTTATGGGGAGGTGTTGCCGAAATGTTTGCAAAATACTCTCTTCTTTTGAGCTTATTTGGGGTTGTATAGGGTAATTGGGGTGGTTTGACATACTTGGGGCTGTTAAATTACTTGAGGCGCTTACTATCAAATTTGGGGCGGTATAGGGTAATTGGGGCGAATAATTTAACGTGGGGCGGATAGTCTAATTTGGGGCGGTTTCGTTTTGTTGGGGCGGTTTGACATACTTGGGGCGAATACACAAATTTAGGGCGGTTTGACATACCTGGGGAGGTGCTTAAGTCAACATTAAAGTTTTTTTTTTTTTTTTTTTTTTTTTTTTTTTTTTTGGTAAGGCTTTTTCTATTGATTTAATTTGAAGTTTTGTAAGGCTTGTGAAGTTGAACTTAAAAGGAGACCAAGAGTAGACCCTTTGGCTTCGTCTTCTGTTGGGAATTGGGACTTGTTCTTAAGTCAACATTAAAGTTTTTTAGGAATGTTCAATTTCTAGCAGTTTGTAATTGTTAATAAAGATTATATCACAATGATGTTAATTACATTTAAGGAGTAATTGAAATTTATAGCAGGAATTGTTAATGTCATGAATGTGATTTTTACATTCTCTTTATTTGTGTACTCTATGTTCTAGAATGAAGAGTTTAGCATTTTTCTGGAAGAAACATGCAACTAAGTCTCAAAAATCGTCATATTAAATATGTAAACCGTTGTAACCCAGAATTTGAACTTTTTTATTAAGATTTTCATTGGGTCACTGGCTTGAATGCTGATTGTTGACTTTCTTGGTGATGAAATCTTGTCGGGGACCTCAGGATGAATGTAGTTGTTTGATCAAATTATGTTGCGATAATAGTAGTGTTTGCATTTATTTGATTTTTTTGCCTCTTCAAATACTTTTTGCAAGGTGCAAGGCCAATTTCTAACATGATAAGGTTTATCCAGTTGCAAAAAGTATAATCGGAGGTAGTAATTAATATGAAGCCGAGGGAGTAATACACTATACACACACTTCTTATTATAGTGTACTCCCTCTGTTTCATATTAATTGCAACAGTAGGTTGTTCACCGCAATTTCATTTATCACTTCTTAGAGGGTGTAACTACTTGATGTTGATATACTGAACTACTACCCGCGTTTAATATTATTTGAAGTGTTCTTTCCACCGTAATAAGTAGCTCGTTATTATTTTGGTTGGTGTTAAAAAGGTTTAAATGCCTCGAAATAAATGCTTTGTTATTACACATTAATAGATTAACAGTCTTATTGTTATAATATTAACTCAAAAAACAAACATCTTCGAAATTTTTGGAGTAATAATAGGTGAAATTGTTCGTGAACAGTTCAAATTTTTGGCACAAAGGTCAACTTGTTTCTCAAATTAAAATTGTTATACGACCCCCACCGTTACAAGATTACTCGGCACACAGGCCGGCATAACATACAGAATTCATAATTAGTTGATCACTAACTGCCCCGATAATTAATTACATACAAAAAATTCATAATTAGATAATTAGGGTGTAAAACGCCAACAATTAATTGTTTACAACACCACCAATCTTGAAGCCACCACCACAAGATTTCCTTTGCTATAACCTAATTTCTAATTTATTATCATTAATTTTTCAATGAATTTGGGAAATCTTTTGGCTGTTCTGACCGGGTTTTGAAATGAAAGAGAAGGGATCGGAATTCGATATTATTGGAGAAGCTCCGAGAAAGCTGTAGGACAAGACGAATTCGAGTTTCAATGTATATTTTCGTATCTCTTTTATTAATATTTATTTACAGTATTCCTTTTTTGCATGGGCGGATCTATTCACGGGCCTCTGGGTCACACAAATACTGAAAACAAAAAAAAATTAAGTAAAAAAAAAAAACAAAAAACAAATACTGAAAACAAAAAAAAATTAAGTTAAAAAAAAACAAATAATGAAAACAAAAAAAAAATTAAGTTAAAAAAAAAACAAAATGAATAGGCCTAAACCGTTTCATTAAATCTATCAGACGTGTCACTAGTCTCACACAGTCACGATTCTCACTCTTCACTCACATTCACACGTCTCCCTCACTCTTCAAATCTCACGATTCACGATTCAAGATTCACAGTCACGGAAATCGCCACACCGCTGCCGCCTGCCGTCGTACATTCCAGCCACCGCCCCTCCGCTGCGCCGCACCTTCTAGCCACCGCCCAGCGCCCACGGCCCACCGTACAGCCGCACTCCAGGACTGCCTCCACACCTACAGCCTTCTAGGTAACTTTGATAATTTTCAAGTTTTAATTTCGTATTATACACTAATTGCTGACTTGTTGGATTGATTTTGCGCTTAATTGAGTTGTTTGTGTTATTTAATCTAGTCAATTAGTGTGTATGTTCTTTGAAATTGTTGATCTGTTATTAAATTTATCAAATTAGAAAGTTAGGGTTTCTGATTAATTTTGGAATTGATAATATTGAATTTCTGATTTTTTTTTCTTTGAAATTGATATTATAAATTGACAATGGGCTAGTAAATTTGATGATTTCATATTTAATCTATGAAATTAGGGGGTTAAGAACTTAGGGTTTCTGATTTTTTTTGGAATGGATTAGTTTGGATAATTGCATTTCTGATTTTTTGAAATTGATATTAGAATTGGTCAATTGGATATAGTGATTGCCTTGAATTTGTATATGTTCAGTGCTAAGCTCACTATTAGTGTTTTAGGCTTTTAGCTATACTGTATTATCAAGTTAGTTGCTTTTGTAGTTGGTTCTAACTCTATCCGTTGCAACGACAAGTGTAGAAAGAGTATTTTCTGGAATGTTGAATGATTGCTTGGTTACCCTTTCATTTCATGTTATTGTGATGGGTTTATGTGTGACTTTGGTCAAGGTTTGTTGTATTACTGACATGCGTGTATTACACTGGCTGATTAATAGTCTATTTCCTAATGTATGGATAAATCACTTTCCTAATACAACATATGAAACTTCTGAGCCTTTTCTACAGCATTGCTTAGGATTACGCGGCTTATACAACATGTTGTCCCTGCCTAAATCCGCGATTCTATCCCCATTTTTGTCAGAGGTGTTGGGATATTACGATCCCATTACCAACACCTTTGACATTCGAGGGCACGTGCTAGGAATAACACTAGAAGATGTGTTATTCCTAGCAAGAATCCGGATTGACGGCAAGCCGGTGCTTGTTAAAGATTATAGGAATAACCATTGCAGTGCTATTTTCGAAGAGGTGATCTACGATGTTAACAAGTTGTATGAGATTATCGAAGACACCTCTGCGGATTGGAAGAAGCGCAAGGCAGCACTATTAATGGTAATAGTGCAATGCATTATAATTCTATCTCCCAATGGGATAAACTTTTATCCCCCACTTTTTGAGGTTCTAAGTGATCCAGATGGGACATTTGGCACTTATGCATGGGGGGCAGCCATGCTTGCTTTCCTCCAGCATCACTTGGAGAAGTTGAATCAGTCAACAAAATTAGGTGGTTGTACATGGCTTTTGGTGGTAAGCTTCTTCTTCTTTTTTTTTTTTTTTTTTTAATCAATCTTTATTTTATTATATTTATTATTTAAAAATTAATGTGATTGTGACTGCTTACTGTACAGTGTTTCTTCTTGGTACAGATCCCGAAGCTGTGGGATTCTTTAGGCCTCACATCAGTGAGGGAGGAGATGGAGGCCGGGCAATTGGATCAACACCCATTTCCAATGCAATGGATACTAGAGAAGCTGCTTCTAAATTCCGCCCTTGGCAATGACCGCAGGTCGGATTACCGCAAGAAGATGCACACTGTTTTTGAGAACCTTGAAGATGAGGTATGTATATTTTTTTATTTTTTTTTGGTAAATTCCCTGGCAGAATAAGTTTGAACGAGTTTTGTCCATCTATATTATATCGATTTTGGTTATAATAAGTCTTTTGCTTGTTTATTGATATCATTTTCTTTTTGCAAGTATTATTCTTGTTTAATACAATCTGCTAGAACTATTAAAACTTAATTATGAACGCTAAAAGAGTTTAAGAGTTCTCTGGCAGAAACTATTTGAGGAGTAGTCCCCTTGTATGTGTCATTCTTTGTATTGACAACCATAAATCTAGTCTGATCTGATTTTAAAATTAAAATGAACTGAAACAAGTGTGCTGAAGTCCCTGGCAGAATAAGTTTGAACGAGTTTTGTCCATCTATATGTTGTTTTTGTGTCACTATGTTAATGTCCCATATTCTAATTTGAATTAGGCCCTTTTAGGAGCTGAATTACACTATTGAATTTTTTTGGTTTTGATATTGTATTTGATGTTTTATTGACAGGAAATTTGCTGGACACCCTATGCCAATTGGGTGCTTCCAGATGAGTTGAAAGAAGATAAATGGTTCGTAACACGACTTGGCCCGATATTTTGTAACAACTTTGTGGTTCATCATAAACCACATCTTGTTACAAAACAATTTGGAGGCTACGAACTCGACCCGGTCATGCATAGGGACAAGCTCGCTATATTTGATCATCATATACGATTTGTGGATAATCGTGGCTCTAACGGGCACGATTATTTCGAGTCGTATAAGCGTGAGCTTATATTGTGGGATAAAAAAATGTGTGTTGATGAAGTCCATGATGACAATCGTTCTCCTTCTCCTTCTCGTTCTCCTGCTCCTTCTCCTCCTCCTCCTCGTCGTCAACGTCAACGTCGGGATTATTCACAGGTGGGGGGTTCCTCGGAGAAGCTCTCGTGAACGACGTCCGAATGTTCCGTTCACACCCAGCCAGTAAGCTGGTTTTTTTTAAGAACTTGTATAGTTGTAGAACCATTTGGTTCTTCTGTTTTTCACACCCAGCCAGTGAGCTGGTTTTTTTTTAAAGAACTTGTATAGTTGTAGAACCATTTGGTTCTTCTGTTTTTTTTTTTTTATTTTAAGTTCAATATGATACAAATATTTTTATATTATACATTATTTCATGTTAGCCATTCAAAATGGGCATTAAATAGTCATTTTTCTTATATTTACTTTTATTTTTTCTCATAATATAATAAAAACTATTAAAAAGTATAGAAAAATTGAAAATCGGTCCAAACCGGTCTGGTTCGGGTTTTGGACCGGTTTTTTCGGTCCGGTCTTCGATCCTTGAATTTGAAATTTAACGTTGGATTATGAATATTATTATGAATATTTATAACGTTGGATTAAAGTAAAGTCTTCCGCTGTTGTATTTTGATAAATGCCATAGTATTCAATCAATGTGATTGGTTGGATATAGCAATAATACCCTTTTAATTCTCGGTTTTATGATGCCACGCGCCAAATTAAGTATTTTATACAAGAGAGAATATGGGGGTGTTACATAATTAATTAAAATGGAGAATGAAAAAAGATGGTTACTTGTTCACAGGGAATAAGTTTCCGCTTTCTTTGTAGACAAAACACCACTCTCCCGACACCTCTTCTTTCTTCCTCATGTGAAGAACCACTCGTGTTCATGTTAGATGATCCGGCATGGTTAAATACATCACTTAGTCACAAATTGATCCAACTATCCCATGCTAGATGATCAAAGAGAAAAAAAAAAAATTTACTTCTAAATAGCATTCAATATACTTCTAAATAAAAGGATTACATCCACCCCCTAATTAGGCTGATTAATTAATTAATTAATTAATTACACTTAAGGATAATTATTCCTCATTCTTTTTCACCCACTAACACTAAAAGAAATTTTAACTAAATATATACTTTCACACATTACTCACGCACAACAACTATGCCCCCTTATCTATTTATACATGCACACACAGTAGCCCTCACATAGTCCATACATGTCACACACACTTATTGCGTAGACTCTCAAGCACAAAGCAACTCAAGTTACCTTTCATATGCACAATAACAATCCAAATTTGTTACTTGATAAATAAAATGTTTAGTCAAATTTTTACTCAATTTTTTGTATCCAAGGCAAAAAAAAAAAAAAAAAAAAAAAAAAAAAAAAAAAAAAAAAAAAGTGGTAAAGGCTTGTCAATGTGGAGATCATCAATTGGCAAAGGGAGCTGTGAAATATATTAGATCTAAAATTTTTCCAAGCAAATACATTTCAGACAACTATCAACCCGATTTTTATCGGTTTTTCGGTTGGTTCCGGGTTGACCCATATATATATATATATATTTTCAGGCCCGCACCGCGAAATTTAAAATTTTTTTTTTTTAGTTTGATATAAACCGGTCCAAATTTAAACCTAAAAAAAAAATTTGAACTAACTGGTCCAACCGGCCAAAAATCGGATCGGAACCGAACCGATTAATTCCGGTTCTGATTCTCGAAAAATCGAGATTCCGATCCCGGTCCAAACCGGTTCCGGTCTGGTCCGGTTCGGTTTTGGACCGGTGAACACCCCTAGATGACACCCTCGGTAGGATGCCACTCTTTTCATATACGGTTAATATAGGAGGAATTCAGTACATTGGTGCTACAGCGAGAACCAAAAAACATACACAGTAGCCCTCACATAGTCCATACATGCCACACACACTTATTGCATACACTCTCAAGCACAAAGAAACTCAAGTTACCTTTCATATGCACAATAACAACCCAAATTTGTTACTTGATAAATAGAATGTTTAGTCAAAATTTTTACTCAATTTTTTGTATCCAAGGCAAAAAAAAAAAAAAAAAAAAAAAAAAAAAAAGTAAAGGCTTGTCAATGTGGAGATCAATTGGCAAAGGGAGCTGTGAAATATATTAGTTCTAAAAGTTTTGCAAGCAAATACATTTCAGACAACTATCAACCCGTTTTTTATCAATTTTTCGGTTTGGTCCATCTACTGGCTCTTATTCAGTTGCATCTCGGGACAAAATCCCAAAATAATTGCTCTTGCTCCATCGACCAAATGATGTTAACCTTGGATACCTGATGCAGTTATGAGTACAACCGGGCGTGGTCGGCCTGCATCAAGAAACATCTTGGTTTTTTATCTTGGTGGTGGAACTTTTGATGTGTCTATAGTCGCGGTGAAGAAGTATGTCTTTGAAGTCATAGCAGTATGCGGGGACACTCACCTTGGTGGAGGAGACATTGACAATAGAATGATGGACCATCTTGTAACCGAGTTTAAATTGAACCACAGTAAGGATATAAGTACAAATCATAGGGCTCTTGGAAGGTTGAGAGCTGCATGTGAAGGGCTAAGAGAATCCTCTCTTCAACTTCAGAGACAACTATTGAAATTGATGGTCTCTTTGAGGGTATCGATTTCTCATCAACCATCAATCAAGCAAGGTTTGACAAAATCAACAAGGATTTGTTCATGGATTGTTTGGACCATGTTGAAAAGTGTTTGAAGGATGCAAAATTGGAGAAGAGTGATATTGATGATGTTGTCCTTGTTAGTGGGTCTACTCGAATCCCCAAAGTTCAGAAATTGTTGCAGAACTTGTTGCCGGTGTAGATAGTAGCAGTAAGAACGCTGTGCTTGTGGATGTTACTCAGGAGGCGACCAAGATAAAGGAGATGCAGAACCAAGAAATTGAGAAGTATTTCTTCCATTTCAGGGCTCAGGAGGCGACCAAGTTTAAGGAGATGTAGAACCAAGAAATTGAGAAGTATTTCTTCCATTTCAGGGCTCAGGAGGCAAACAAGTTTAAGGAGATGCAGAACCAAGAAATTGAGAAGTATTTCTTCCATTTCAGGGCTCAAGAGGCGACCAAGTTTAAAGAGATGCAGAACCAAGAAATTGAGAAGTATTTCTTCCATTTCGGGGCTCAGGAGGCGACCAAATTTAAGGAGATGCAGAACCAAGGAATTGAGAAGTATTTTTTCCATTTCAGGGCTCAAGAGGCGACCAAGTTAAAGTAGATGCAAAACCAAGAAATTGAGAAGTATTTGGTTGAGAGAGAGCAACTGGAACATATTCACATTGCTTAAACCTAGGCGAGACAAATTAGTTTCTCCTGATTTGAAGGATGTTCCTGCTCAATCAATGAAGGAGACAACTGCTGTTAATGGTCCATCTACTGGCTCTTATCCAGTTGCATCTCGGGACAAAATCCCAAAATAATTGCTATTGCTCCATCAACCAAATGATGTTAACCTTAGATACCTGATGCAGTTAGGGCTCAAGAGGCGACCAAGTTTAAAGAGATGCAGAACCAAGAAATTGAGAAGTATTTCTTCCATTCAGGGCTCAGGAGGCGACCAAGTTTAAGGAGATGCAGAACCAAGGAATTGAGAAGTATTTCTTCCATTTCAGGGCTCAAGAGGCGACCAAGTTAAAGGAGATGCAGAACCAAGAAATTGAGAAGTATTTGGTTGAGAGAGAGCAACTGGAACAGATTCACATTGCTTAAACCTAGGCAAGACAAATTAGTTTCTCCTGACTTGAAGGATGTTCCTGCTCAAGCAATGAAGGCGACAACTGTTGTTAATGGTCCATCTACTAGCTCTTATCCAGTTGCATCTCGGGACAAAATCCCAAAATAATTGCTCTTGCTCCATCGACCAAATGATGTTAACCTTGGATACCTGATGCAGTTAGGGCTCAAGAGGCGACCAAGTTAAAGGAGATGCAGAACCAAAAAATTGAGAAGTATTTCTTCCATTTCAGGGCTCAGGAGGCGACCAAGTTTAAGGAGATGTAGAACCAAGAAATTGAGAAGTATTTCTTCCATTTCAGGGCTCAGGAGACGACCAAGTTTAAGGAGATGCAGAACCAAGAAATTGAGAAGTATTTCTTCCATTTCAGGGCTCAGGAGGCGACCAAGTTAAAGGAGATGTAGAACCAAGAAATTGAGAAGTATTTGGTTGAGAGGGAGCAACTGGAACAGATTCACATTGCTTAAACCGGATTTAGAAAGGCAAAACTAAGCTTTCAATATAACCTTTTGAGTGAACTATGTTATCTACATTATCGAAAGCAATACCCCCTTGAGCCATTTATGGTGTCTCCCGACTTGGATCAAATACTTTGAGTTTCTTCTTAGTAGGAAGCAAACACTTGCCAGTCTCAGAGAAACAATAGTATATGACACCAATACGATTGATAGAGAACAATTTATGCCAGGAATTCCCATCACTAGAGTGCTTCAACGTCCAAACATCATCTTTAGAAAAATAAGTTGTTGTACAAAGCAACGATAAGCACCCTCTCAACTCCAACAAACGCAGTCTCATATGAATGTTAAAGTTATTCTGCCAGTTATACTTCTCCAACCAATCCATCGGCGACAATTCCTTAAATTGTTCTGTAATCAAATCAAAACCAATAACAGGATTGCGATTGCCCTTCTCCCAATTCAACACCGTTCCAATGAACATGTAAAAAGTATCATGAATCAACACTACCCTTTCTACAATATGACGTGCATAGAGATCCTGAAAGTGATGATAGGAAGATCAAATGACGGGTAGTCCAATTTACCAATTCTTTTCCAATTTCCAGTACTCAGAGAATACTCATGAATTCGAACATAGTTACCACCATGACATAAAAACGCACCAAGAATTTTATAGTCATCAGTTGACGATTCATGATAAAACACACAACCAAACTGCGAGCCACGAGGAATCATGATTGTTCGATGGCGGCGAGTAGCCGGGTTACCAATACTTCTCGTACATGTAAACACACAAGGCCATTACAAGAACAAACAATATAGAAGAATTCAACTAGATGGTCATACCAATTTTTGTTCATGGATTGTTTGGACCATGTTGAAAAGTGTTTGAAGGATGCAAAATTGGAGAAGAGTGATATTGATGATGTTGTCCTTGTTGGTGGGTCTACTCGAATCCCCAAAGTTCAGAAATTGTTGCAGAACTTGTTGCCGGTGTAGATAGTAGCAGTAAGAACGCTGTGCTTGTGGATGTTACTCAGGAGGCGACCAAGTTTAAGGAGATGCAGAACCAAGAAATTGAGAAGTATTTCTTCCATTTCAGGGCTCAGGAGGCGACCAAGTTTAAGGAGATGTAGAACCAAGAAATTGAGAAGTATTTCTTCCATTTTAGGGCTCAAGAGGCGACCAAGTTTAAGGAGATGCAGAACCAAGAAATTGAGAAGTATTTCTTTTATAATAAATTAATAACAGAGAAAATATTGTCACAAACTGCATTGCATTACAAAAACTTAAAGTTTCAGACAATTGCAGACCTCGAGTTGAGCATCTATGAAGTGCAGATAGATAAAGAAGCATTTGTTACTAAGGTACGATATCAGACTTTAAACATCAGAGTACTGTATGTATTAACGTGTCACACATTGTTCCTTCAAGAAAAATTAAAAATGTTACACCGTGACTATATAGAACCCGTTTCAATAATCAAAAATTCAATTTTTTTTTTTTTTTTTTTTTTTTTTTTTTTTTTTTTTGCAGTTTTGCTGATTTTAGTTTTTATGGGTTATTTTGCTCATTTTCTTATATTTACAGAGTTTGGTCCATTGTCTATTGGGCTGAAATATGAATAGGGCCTAAACCGTTTCGTGTCACTAGTCTCACACAGTCACGATTCTCACTCTTCACTCACATTCACACGTCTCCCTCACTCTTCACATCTCACGATTCACGATTCACGATTCACGATTCACACAGTCACGGAAATCGCCACACCGCTGCCGCCTGCCGCCGTACATTCCAGCCACCGCCCCTCCGCTGCGCCACACCTTCCAGCCACCGTCCAGCGCCCACGGCCCACCGTACAGCCGCACTCCAGGACTGCCTCCACACCTACAGCCTTCTAGGTAACTTTGATTTCAAGTTTTAATTTCGTATTATACACTAATTGCTGACTTGTTGGATTGATTTTGTGCTTAATTGAGTTGTTTGTGTTATTTAATCTAGTCAATTAGTGTGTATGTTCTTTGAAATTGTTGATCTGTTATTAAATTTATCAAATTAGAGAGTTAGGGTTTCTGATTAATTTTGGAATTGATAATATTGAATTTCTGATTTTTTTTTCTTTGAAATTGATATTATAAATCGACAATGGGCTAGTAAATTTGATGATTTCATATTTAATCTATGAAATTAGGGGGTTAAGAACTTAGGGTTTCTGATTTTTTTTGGAATGGATTCGTTTGGATAATTGCATTTCTGATTTTTTGAAATTGATATTAGAATTGGTCAATTGGATATAGTGATTGCCTTGAATTTGTATATGTTCAGTGCTAAGCTCACTATTAGTGTTTTAGGCTTTTAGCTATACTGTATTATCAAGTTAGTTGCTTTTGTAGTTGGTTCTAACTCTATCCGTTGCAACGGCAAGTGTAGAAAGAGTATTTTCTGGAATGTTGAATGATTGCTTGGTTACCCTTTCAATTCATGTTATTGTGATGGGTTTATGTGTGACTTTGGTCAAGGTTTGTTGTATTACTGACATGCGTGTATTACACTGGTTGATTAATAGTCTATTTCCTAATGTATGGATAAATCACTTTCTGTACAAGAAGTTTATTATGTGGAGATTTGTCTTTTTCAATTTTTTTTAATCACATTTTAAGGTTATTTTGAGTTCAATGAATGTGATTACCCCTGGAAGGTAATATAAGCCATTTTTCTGTTTTGTTTGAGTTTATTCTCAATTGAATCTCTTGCTTTTTGCTTCATGAAATTATTGTTAATATGCTTGAATCTTGATGCGTCCAACGTTTATCCAATTTTTTGGTATTCTCTTTTAATAATGAACAAAATTCCGTAATCAGTCTTGTAATATTATAGTATACAACATATGAAACTCAAGTTTGTTGACAAAACTTGGACCATCAAATATGTGGAAGATAATCCAAAGCAAAATAATGTAGTTGATTGTGGAGTATTCACAGCAAAAAATATTAGGTTTTGGGCGCTTGGGATCAGATTACCCTTATTAGCGGTATGGCTTGTAACTTTTTTCCCATGCTTACAATAAGATTATATAATAAGATTAATTCTGGATTTTCGATTAGGATAATGCTGGGATCGCTAGGAAAATTCTCTTGCAAGAGATAAACCAAAAAGACTTTTTTCATGCATGCGTTTAAGAAGTATTAGCTCTCAGAGAGAAAGCTATGCATGCGTTTGCTTTAATTATTATTATTATTATTATTATGAATTCAGAACTTGAATTTTTTTTTCTTGTCTACTATTATGCTGTTTTTCTTTTTTGTGGGTTCATGAGGATGAATTCAGAACACTTATAAGTGGTCACCTTATTAACGTGTTTGAGCGTATCTTTTACTTATAAGTGGTCACCATCAAATGTTTGGCAAGCTTGTGTAGGTGATCTTTTGCGTTTATCAGACAGCACTTTCCTAATGAGTGTGATGCAATGCATTGTTATTACTATATAATTGATCTATTTGGTTGCTGATCCAGACTGTTCATCACAATGCTTACCATGCTGATCCTTATGCACAAGAATTTGGGATTAAAATTGATGAGTGGCTTGCTAGTGTTGAAGCACGTGTTCTTCCTGCATCCTGGGTATGCTCATGTCTAATGATTATTGATATGGAATATGTAATTGTGGAAGTTTGGTGGCCACAATGCCATGTGTAGGGAAATTTTGGATGTTTTGGTTATCTTGATATACGTGTTATAACTGGAAAATAGTTCAAAAATAGTCCCTTTCGTTAATATTTCTTTTTGGCAGAAAATGGTGAACGGGGGAACAGTGAACAACTGGTTCTGCATAAATTTTTCACGCAATGTGCAAGATGGCGTTGCTCGCAGTTTTTGCTCTGAGCTTGCCCAAATGTGTCATATATCTGGCTTGGTATGTATCTTCTATAAGGTTTTTTTTTTTTTTTTTTTTTTTTTTTTTTTTTTTTTTTTTTTTGGTGTCTGGTGGTATCATTGCTCCAATATTATATATCTCTGTTATGATATATGAAATGTGTCATTTTCTTTACTTGGCTATCATCTTACTTCCCCTCTTTTTTTTTGAACTCTGCAGTAGGCTGCAAAACTTCCTTAAAGTTAGATGATCATGTAGCCAAAACATGAAATACATCCCCCCCCCCTCCCCCGAACCATCATGCATAAAGATTCGAGCTTCTCATATGTATTAATTCACCAACGGCTTGAATTTGGATAAAACGGTTGAAATAGGTTTTAGTTGTAACCAAGGTTGTTAGGATCAGGATCTCAGGTTGGATCGATGAGGGGAGTAGGATCGAATCGGTAAAATTGGATCACAGAATCGTAAGATCCTACGAAATTGAAAAATGGGGCAATTAAGTTGTTGCTACATAACTAGATACCCATCATTCAAGCAATAAGGCCAAAATGTATAGTTAATACTTGCAACAATATTCTCAAGTAGTCTTCGCATTACAACTAAATATGTTCATGCTGCTGTATACTGTATTTGTCATTAATAGTTTCTTCTTAGAGCATTTTTTTTTGCTGATGAAATACCAGTCCATACCTTGAAAGCTTCATACATAATTGCAACAATATTCTCAAGTAGTCTTTGCATTACAACTAAATATGTTCATGCTGCTGTATACTGTATTTGTCATTAATAGTTTCTTCTTAGAGCATTTTTTTTGCTGATGAATTACCAGTCCATACCTTGAAAGCTTCATACATAATTGGGATGTCTTCACTATAATGCTGGTTTTTTTTTTTTTTTTTCCTATCTGGTGGTGAACCATTTTCGAGATTCAATCAAATTTCTTGTTAGTGGTGAATAATATGTATGTTTTTTTTTTTTTTTTTTTTAATTAGCAGATTATGCATGTTTCTGTTTGTAGCTGGTTATTTGTTTCTTTTAATTATGTTATTTGACCCTATCCATTATTATTTTCTTTATTTATTTATTTAATTTTTGGTCCATTGGGGGTGGGGGGGTATTTATGATTATTGTTGGCCGAGTCGGCGAGTCTCCAAATTAGTGGATAGTATGTGCTTTTGGAATTTGGATTGCGGGTTGGTTGTGTGCTATATGTAATTCAAGCTAAGAAGGCTACAATGTATATATCTGTAAGCATCTCTCCACGTAATTCAGGAGAGAGATGGAAAAGTATATCTCTTCCATTTGTTTATATCTATTTTTTTCATATCACCTGTTCTTTATTTGATTGATTGCTCATCATTGGCGTTGCTGTTATTATGAATCTGGAGCTCCCAGATAAAGGCGATTGCACCATGTTGCAAACCTACATGTGACAGCCGACTTTACATGGACAGTGGCATCAAGTACTTGCAAATCCTATATATATTATTGCAACTAGCTTTGTTTGTGTTTTTAGTGGTATTATAATTCTCTCGATGGAGTAGCTAGGCTGGTATTTCAAAATCAACACAAGAAGTTGCTTATTTATATTTTAAAGTTATATGTCATTATGGCTTTTCCATGTCTCCTTTTGGTGGTGTGAGATTATATGCTGGGTTAGAAGCAGCCAGCTTGAGGCTGGATAATATCCATTCTTTTTATGTCGTGGAAACCAGCTCCATACCAATATTGACATTTTGGTGAAACCAGCTCCATAACAATATTGACATTTTGGTGTGTTTACAGGTGTGGATAATAATGAAACAATGAAGGTATCTAGAAGTGGTGGAGCTGATCCTGATGGATACGGGCCAGGTGA